ATAAAAGCTCAGAAATATAGAGAGGGGCCAGCCCAAGCTTGGCCTTAAAAGAAATTTAAATAATATTTAAGTCAATCCTAAAATAAATGGGCAGTCGGTGTAAAGATGCTGAGACCGGGGTGATGTGAACACATTGTTTGGACTGAGTTTGGAGCTGAGCTGCAGCATTTTGGACTAACTGTTGGAGGTGGATTGATTTCTGACTGAGACAGGTATATAGGGAGTTACAGTTGTGGGAGAAAATAAAAGCATGAGCGAGTTTCTCCAGATCTGTGGCCGAAATAAAAGACTTAATGTTAGCTATATTTCTCAAATGATAAAAACATGAATGCACAACTTTCTTTACCTGTATTTTATCAGCTTATTTAAGTATATACGTTATATAAGTGTTGTGCGTTTTTGTTGCACACAGGTCCGCAATATAAAGGGATGTTTATTTGCAAGGAGCTTTCAATCACTTACAATAATCTACAGGCTATTTTTAAAATTATTTTTTGGGCAGTTTAATGCCTTTATTGTCAGAGAGAAGATGACATGCAGCAAAAGGCTCCGGCTGGATCCAAATCGACGGCCACTGAGGTAAGGACTGAGCCTAAGTAGTATGTGCTCTACCAAGTGACTCTACTGGCCTGAACTGGCTGAACATGGCAAAAGATGAGGGAATCTGAGAAGCTGAAAAAGAAAAAAAGAGAAAAAAATAAAGGACAGAAAAAGAATCAAATATTTAAAACAATGTGAAGAAAAGACAACTCAGATAACCATATGTTTTTGCAATAAGCTCTTAATGACTATATAAAAAAAAAAATTGTTTTCTCCAGTCTTTAATCGGTGCCAGGCAGACGGCAGAGCGATAGTGCCTTCTGCCTCTAGTATTATCAGGAAGCAGCGTGAGTCAATGGAGTGTGGCCACATTGCCACATAAACAAGGAACCATAGGAAAGTGTGGGAGTGAAAGAAGAGGGGAGAAAAAAAAGAGAAAGAGGTGATGGAGAGATGAACTATGAGAGATGGAGGTAAACTTTCCCCTGTTATTCTTTCCTTGATAATGGAAAACAAGACCCCTATCACAACAGCAGTGTAAGCTTAATACTGCTGCCTTCGACTGAGCTGGGGGCGGCTGTGCAACAAAACAACAAGGAAAGAGAAAGGAGGAAAAATGTAACTGGTTTGATTTGTCATTGTCACCCCAACCTCTCCTCTCTCCACCCCTTTTCCTCCCTGAAACTGAGAGAACGCAGGTATATTGGCAGGCAGGTCTGGGTGCCGGTGATAACAATGTTGGCTTTGTTCCCCGCTCGATTTGGACAAGCGCTTCCAGCCGCCACCCAACACAACAATTAAACAAGCCCAATGTTCAACGCTGCGTTTTCAACATACTGCAATCTGGTGGCGGCTTTCCTCTGTAAATCTATGAGGGTTTCAACGCAGCTGATGCTGGAGGCAACGCTGTGCTCGCTGATAGCAGCAAATCTGTTCCAACGGACAGCTACACCTGTTGCACACTGAGCTCTTTTTATTGTCTTCTGTTATTTTTCCAAACACATACACATGCAGCCTAATACAGCCACAGCATCTAACACACACACACACACACACACACAAACACACACACACACACACACACACACACACAAAAACATGCTGCCCTGTCTTCATCAGGGCAGACCAATGGGCTGTGTCATATCTGCCAGAAGTGTATTCATGTGGGAAAACGGTTGATCCAGACCAGGAGAGTTGCTTTCACACAGGACAGGATGCATTAACAACCCCTCAATCCACACCTGGCTTAGAGAAGAAACAGCTTACTTCTGGCAAAGCTGTAATTTACATTTAAGTCTTAAGTAAATCCACCGCCTGAGCCGAATCCTGACCCAAAGCTGTGATTTGTCTGTCTTGTTAGTTTTCTTTTCTACTGTGATAGATATGCCCCTATGAAATGTATATCAGTTTGACATTATTTAATTTTTTATTAAGGGTACTGTGACTTTTAAGCACCATAAACAACAAGGCATATGAACATTCTATATTTGGGAAATACATACTATATTTACTGAGAAAGAAATGTTATATATTCTGGACTGAAGCAACTCTGCGGCACAGGTTGTGTATATGGTTCCTTCACACTAGGTGCCTCTAGCAAGCACCGTCTCGTTGCCAGCTTACTCGATTCAACATGTGTGACTAAATTTGGATTCAGTTTACGACTTGTTTGGAGTTATCAGCTCTGCAACTCTTAAATATGCAGCAGTCAGTTGCCACCAACCCAGATGATGTAACTGTTTACACATGATCCAGGATTTGTAGATGAAGCTGGTGTAGGGTTGCAGGGGAGAGAACAAGTGTCTGTTGAACATTTCAAAACACACCTCATCATCACAGCCTGCGAAACAGCAGCATGCTGTGCTGTGGACTACACTGTGTTCTGCAATCACTTAAATGTCATAGGTACAGAGACACTGGCAAGCTCCAAGCAGGTATGACATGTGTTATGTGTCAGGTTTTTCACATCCCTACAACTACACACAGTACATAACTACAGGCAAATGTAGCTTATCAAATATGTAAGATCACAGATCATTTGTCTTAAAGAAGCAAGAAAACCATTATAAAAACACTAATGAACTATAAATGTATGAATTTCCTCCTGGTCTACTGTTCTGTGTCTGTGGCTGTTCGTTACCTCAGAAAAAAGCAACTGAGAAAAGAGCAGCTCGTGTCCACAGTGGCAAAACTAGCCCTGATCCTCGGGGACAGCATCCTGAGCTGTATTACCAGAATCTAACAGCCACACACAGCCAGAGGCAACACATGATCCCTACTTCTGCACACTAAACCCAACTCAATCTGATTAGAAGAAGTAGCATGTTCGGCCCATCCCCTCGTTTTGCTCCTTAGCTCCATTCGATATTGATTTTTACTGTGAAATAAAAAGGAGAATGGATCTAGTTTGTCACCATAAAGCAAAATAATCACAAAAGAAACACAAAATAAACACTTTATATATATATATATATATATATATATATATATATATATATTTTTTGGTTCGTGACCCACAATTACTGCAGTTCCATATTTGGCTTTGATAAAAACAGTGTACCTAGGCTTGCGAGCTGCACTTTCACATACTTAAATTCATAGTACTTCCTAAACACTAACACCTGCAACTTTTAAATTATGTTATTGCTTGTTTCACTGTGTCTTTTGGTCCACGTCTCTCATTAACTACTACATCTTCTCCTCTCATCAAGACTTGTAAAGTGTGTGGCGTAAACACAGACCATTCTCACAGCAGACACATTGACTCATCAGACACAGGTGTAGCAAATAAGATTAACAATGGCTGCATTCACTTTAGGTGCTGCAGTGCCAGGGCCCTGCTATTATACATGCTGGCTCACTGGCATTGCTTACTGGCGGTAACTAGGTGGAATGAAACCATCATTAATGTTATTAGTTACACATATACTGTTTGTAAAATGACAAATAAAGACCTCGTCAGGGAAAGGTCTATCATTAGACAGACTGATCTCCATTTGTAGTGAGTGTACTGGCATTGCAGCAACAAATCTGACAGCAATTTGCTCACATTTCAGATTTGCTGTTTAACCTTCTTTAACCCTTGGCCCAGTCACACAAGCATTTTTAAACAGCAATATTTCACATCAAATTCTTTTTCTTTTTTTTTTTTTTTTACTGGGCTCTTCACCTCTTTAGTAAAGCTGCTTTCACTTTGTTGATATCCAAAGGGATAATCTTAGTGATACTATATGTTTAGCTGCGAGGCAGTGAGGTGTGATTTCTTTGTGTGTACTGGGAGGTAGCACTCGCTGATTCAGTGCTGCACTCACAGCTGCTGCTAATTTAGCAATCACTACTAATGTGTATTTATCTCTCCTTTAGTGAAGCTCCAGTTTCCTTTACTGCATCACCATATGTAAATCTGCCACTTGTTGAGTTTGTGTCCTTCCTGAGTTTTTCTTAGCTACCAACTTTAAACTAATGATTTGCAACAACCTTTTGCAAATGTAGGGATGACTTTATTTATTTATTATTATGTTTTGCTTACTTTATAAGCATGTACAATGTAGACCATATTCCCTTGCCTGTTTTACACCTCAATTCAAATGTGTCGATCTATATTAGCAAATCTTGTCAGTTACTCAACAGGTACAAATGGCAGTTCTAGCTTGTGGACATAGCTTTATTTGAGTGCTGTGTAAATCTCCATATAGTAATGCTAACATTGTAACTAGTAAACATAATAACAGTTGGTGCAAACAGCTCCTGGGTTTTTAAAGGTCCCATATTGTATAAAGGTAGATTTCCGTGTCATTTTTGATTATAATGCAGGTCTAGGTTGTATATTAATATTGTGAAAGTATCAAAGCACTAAGTCGACAGAGAAATGTACACAGCCTGTATTCAGAAACCGAGCCTTAAAAACGAGCCGTCAGGACTTATGTAACTTTATGATGTCACAACAAAGCAGTCACTGCAAGTACTTGGCTTCTCTGAGTGTTTCCCTGTAATCTGCTATATGTTTATTCGATCACGAAGAACAGTCAGTCGACCTGTTGTTACCAGAGCTCCAGTGCTTCTGTAACATCCAGTAACCCGCTTGCCCACTTTTATCCAGCCAGCCAAGAACAGTTTGTCTCTAAACAATACTGTATGTCTGCAAGATGCAGTCACGATACCCAAGGCTGCAATTTTGGAATATCGACAATGGCAAAACACAGTCGCATTAGCTCCATGTTGGCCATGTTGCAGCCGGGATGCATGTTTTCAGAGAGAAAAATGATCAGTTCCTGGAACACGGTGACAAGAGGAGTTTTTCTTTCTAACCTGTATGTAGTTTGCAATCACGCATACTGCAATTGGTAGAACTGTTGATTTGTTGGTTCACAGCAGTGCCTTTAGTTTCGGATGACGTCAATTTTAGGTAACCCCTGCTTCACACTATTGATAGGTTGACAATAGTGAATATGTGTACATACCGGCACTGTAGTAGCGGTCCAGCTTCTCCCATAGGGGCTCATCCTCACGCTGAAGGTTGGACAGCTTAAGAGGTTCATAGATGGAACCTATAGAAGAAAACATCTGTTAGATGCAAAGGGGCATGCTCTCTAATCAGTAACCAGTGTTACTCCACTCCAAATATTGACTTACAACATTTTGTCCTAAATTGATGTATTGGTTTTATGTCTTAAGGACTAAAATGGAGTAAGGTGAAATCAATAATCAATTGGTTTCAACTTAAAGTTTCATGGTGATTCCTAAGGTTTTTCTTGGGAGTCTTGTATTTTATATTCCAGTATGTTTAAATGAAAATGGGTCTTCAGATAGCAATAGCTTGTGGATATCTTTCTGTAATCAAATCTTACTGATTCTAATGAATATAAGAGAAAATGAGCACCAGAGTAAATAAAAAGAAAAGGCAAAAGAAGAAAAAACAACTAAACACATGCCATCAGTAAATTTGTTTTTTCACTGCAACACACCGCATCTCAAAGTGCTCGACAGACCAAACATTCAGGCCACAAGCTAAAAATGCTAATTGTAATATGTGACTTTCCACCAGATATTTCCTCAGAGCTGAGAGAGTTTGAGGGAAACCCCCATCTGTTATACTTTCTCGATTCTTGGACACTTTACACTTTGCTGAGATTTGCATTTTAATAGGTTCGACCTTCGGTCAATACCACAGGTACTGAAAAATTCACATTCTAACTGAAATTAGCATAATTTCCATCAGCTTAAAAGTTGCAGGGGACAAAGCCAATTCATCTCTTTTAAAGATAACACTATAAAAGAGCATAGAGGAAGTCCAATATTCCAATTTTAATTTCTAACATGAGATCAGACAAATGTGCACTGTTGGTGTTTGGCTGGTTTTAAACAATCCCATGACTAACTTCAGTGATGCAGACATTGAACACTCTTACAGACACAGTAAACTATAGGACTTCATTTATACTGTAAATGTATTTTGTGTAATTTTTTTGAAATAGCTAAACCCACATAAAACACACTGTACCAACAAGATCAATTCACAGTAAGGTAAATATACTGTATAGTATTACACTATTTTGCACATCCAGATTCCAAACAGTCCAAGAGGGCACAAGTGTGTAACATATTTTGTTTTTAAAGTGATAACAAAATAATTGTGTCATGATTTCAGTCAACTTCACAAAATATTTTTTAAAGACCATGAGACTATTATTTCCGTATGATCTTTACAGGTCCCCCTGGTCTTCTGTGCGTGGCTGACTGCATTGTTTTGCTCAGTTCTGCTGCCACTACTTACCGAGTCTATGAACTTTCCGATGAGGCCGGCCAATCGCAGCCACTGAACCAGCCATTCTCAAAAGGTGAAATTAAGGCCAATCGTCTCTCTCAGCTAAATCACAAATCTACAGCAATTCACAGGAAGGAGTTAGTAGCACAGAGTTAGATTTTAGACATGCATGAATCAACGATGAATTACACCCTGGGGTGATGATGATCATGAACAACATGCAAAAAAATTATACTGCATTGTATTTGCTTCAGAATTAAAGTTATTCTAACCATTGAGAGATATAGAATAATGGTGAATTATTATATGATGGTAATGTAATTAAGAAAAGACCTTAACAGAATAACTATGTCTCTAAATAAAGACAGTACCTGACTAGTTATTGCCAATAATGCTCCATAACATCCTACAGGATGCTGTACTGCTGTGTTAATACAGCCGTCAAATGAAAACTTGGAAAACAGGTGTAAGTTATTAGGTTAAATTTAATTTAAAATTCAGAATTTTTGCACTAAGATTAGGATATATTTTCCTTCTATTCTCTATGCAAGCTGCCTTTTAGCAGATACTGAATTTTCAAGCAACAGCAGTCTTTATGACACTACTTGATTTATGGGGGAACAGTGTTATGAAATCTATATTTAGCACACTAAAATACTCTTACTACAGGTAAAAAATTACAGGTGGGATAGCTAGTTACATTTACAATGACACAATTATATAGATTTATACCCCAAAGTGCTGGAAAGACTAATTTATGGTGTTTTTCTCAGTTGTATCATTATGTAGAAATAATGGTGTTCCTACATGTGGTGATATATAACATTTGCTGTGATGTTTCTATCCCTACATTTTATAACATCCTTTAATTTGTTATAATGAGATCACCAGATACCAGTGCAAGAAAAGCACAGCTTTCACAGGGCCTCTGGATAAAACTTACACCTCATGCAGCGCACACAGTAGGCTACAGTTAACTATGGGTGAGATATAACAGCGAAAGGAGACCTGTTGAGAAGTTCTTAAAAATAGCTCCTGAGCGCTGCACATTTACACCTCTGACCTTTCATGCTTGTACCGTCACTGCAGTGGACAAATTAAATGGACACATTAAGTCACATTTAACCCGGTATTCGGTGGCTTTACAAGCAGACAGTTTCACACAAGCGCTGGCACAAAACACACGGAAGGACACAGTAGGATGTCATGCAAAGTAAAAAGTCAGACCTGATCTTTTTGATCGGGCTTTGAATTCCAGGAGTTTCCAACCGACATCTGCCAGGCTCGCCATGTTTACACAGCCTCAAATTTGCCAGAACGTTAAAGGATTTCCGGGATCATCCTTCAAAATAAAACAAGCAGCATGGCTCCCGATCAACCATTGTTATGAATAACATAAATGTAAAAAATTGAAGTGGCCTTTTGGTAAGTCACTCATTACTGTTTAAGCAAAGTTTCACGTCATATAAGGTAGTATAATGGTCTTATATTCGATATAATGTATTTACCTTACCTACTGCCCAGCTTGATAAATGTAGCGCATTTATGCTGAAAGTAAATTCCTGTCTTTTCCGACTTAGCTTTAGCGAACTCTCTTTAGCTTGATACAACTGCCAACTGTCAAACTACCCCGGAGTACGACACTAACGTAAACGAGGAAATGCAAATATCGCATTGTTTACTCTCATTTCATTGCATTAGTTCCAAATCTTACCAATGAAATGAAAATAGCAGAACATATGTCTGAATTCAAAATTGATATTTAACATAATACGTGATTATTTTTTTTTTGAAAGCTGCTGTTTCACCCTGTCGTAAAGCAGAGTGCCGTATTGCAGTTGGTGTTGTTGTGAGGAGCTGAACAAGCAGAAGGATGTGGATAACCAAATCAAATATTTTTGCATTTCTGTTACTTTTTGTGATACAAAACAACACATTTGCTCTTCAGGATGTAACGGCCGACCTTTTCGGTACCGAAAATTCCGGGACGGTGGCAGCGTTTGGAGATTTTAACTCGGATAAACAGACAGACATCTTCATCATCAGAGAACGTATGTTAATGCTTCAGTACTTTATGTAATGTTAGCTAATTAGCAAAGTACGTATCGTGTCATAAAATTACGTACGGTGGATTTGTAATGTAGGCATGTCCGGATAATAATGGATAGCATTGTGTATATATTGTGTATCATGTGTTGTACATGACAACATCAGCGGTATAATTCCATGTATCTGTTAAGTGTGTTTAGCGTATGTTGCGGTGCTATAAGCTCTTTCCTGTGTCGTTGTGAAAAAGACTGAGCGGCTGTGGTGAAGATGAACTGAGCTTTAATGAATATAAATGCCTGTGTTGACTTCTTACTGTTCCAGAGTCTGAACTGGTGATATTCTTGGCTGACTCGAAACCACCTTACTTCAAGCCCAAAGTCCAAATCTCTAAAAAAGTTTTCCCAAGGTAAATATGTTACAGTCAGTGCGTTTTCCCTTTCAGTTATAATGTGTAAATCCATATACCTATGATATGTGACATGCCATTTCATTATTTCTTTTTTCTCCGTTGTACTGAGGAAGTAACTGACGCCTCAGAGTGGTCATGTTTACTCTGTGGGAGGGAATGTTTTACATAAGAGCAGAGAAAAATCAGGAACGCCATGTGATGACTCTCATTTTAATGGACAATCTTCCCTCATTTCCAGGGACACTATCATCACCAGTGTGGTTCCTGGAGACTATGATGGAGACTCTCAGATGGATGTCCTTCTTACAGCTGAGATGAACTCCAAGCCAGAAACAATTGTTTTCATCTTTTGGGGGAACAACCAGACATTAGGTACAGCTCCACCTTTTTAAGCAGATATGATTTGATCAGTCCCAGCATCCTCATTGTTGTTGTTATTTTTTTTTTTTTTCAGTGCCATAAATTGTGGTACATATACTTTACTACGTAACAAACTGGGACTATGGTCCCCTGTTTCTGTGTAGTAGAAGTAAAGTTGAGTTGATCATTTTCACAGTAGACATTTCAACTTGTCACACAGGTGTAATTCATAACATAACTAACTGCTGCATTGCATTTCAGAAACTGCGGGTGTGGAGCCATCTTTATATTTATTAGTTCCACCATTTACTGCAACAACAAGTTGGTTGTAGAGTCTGTTGTGGAGAATGTATATGAATCTGATTCATGTGGAAATGATAAAGATAAAACTACTTGTAAAGTATAAGATAGACAAACTTTTTAAAGTGAAGGGAAGAAAATCAGGTAATTCTAATGAAGTAATCAAATCTGGCAGTCAAATGAAAGAAACCCGTCTGGTTGCACTTTCAGTACAGCAAGCTCACCTTGTGTCTTTTGTGAATTAAACTCTTGCAAAGTAGACGAAGTGTTAATTTAGGCAGGTAGTTAAAAAGCATAAGTCTTTCTCAAATGCCCTCTTATTATCATTGGCCTTTTTCACAGGTAGGAAAAGCACTGGAATAAATACCATCAGTGATGGTGATGGCTGATTTCCACTTAGCTGTTTCAGTTCCAGGGGCTTGGTACTGTTACAATATCATGGCCTACTGGGACACTTGAATAGAATACAGCCTGTCTGACCTGTTATCATTCAGTATAGAGCAATAACCATAATCTAGGAAACAATAAAATGACTTTACAATATACTGGTACTATAATGTGGTGTACAGTGATATATTGTTTTGGATATTTACTGTTTAGCCTGATTTGAGCCACTTCTGTTCATCCTCTGTAGATATGGGTGGTTGGCTCAGCCTGAACAAGACCTTTACAGATCAACCCCTTGTTATGGAGTAAGTATCCATCTGAATGGTTTTCACATAAACTCTAGATATTTTTCTTATACTGATGTTTATGGAAAAAATAATGATCCTTATATTTAGTTTCCAATCAAACATTTTGAAATATTGTTTGATGTCAAAACACATGTATGATTTGTATATCTAATCTCAGATAAGATTAAGATATACAGTTATCAGTTTACTAGGCACGTCAGTGTAATCAAATGAAAACTATATTTGAAACGCCTCAATATGATGCAGTCCATCACAACAACATTACTGAGTATGGCCTTAAAAACGACTATAGAGTTGGATCTACACCTGTCAACACAAAACTCAACACAGTAAAGGATTTACTTCAGGGCTATAGCATTAGTTTGTACAATATTTATCTAATAAACTGTTAACTCAAGTTTTAATGATATGTGTTGATTTAATTTCAATTTTAAAAAATTCCCACAGTTTCAATGGGGACATGATCCCAGATATTTTTGGAGTCACCGACGGGATATCCACTGAAGTCTGCTATCTCACCAACAGGTAATGTAATTCTCAATCTCACTTGCAATTTGCTATGTTTATTTCTTTCACTCTCAGCTTTTAAATCCTGCTGTTGCCTCGTGGTTTTTCTTTTCTTTAGAATTCCAGTTTGGCGGAATGCACTGAGTTCACCTGTCAGCATGCGCATCCCTCATTCCAATGCGTTCATTGACCTCAACATGGACTTCACCGCTGGTAAGTCAGTGATGTTTTAGCAAACATACATGAGAAAAATATGTAAATTCTTTGGAGGGTTTTCAGAGCAGACAGCATACTCTAAGGAGGAATTATTATCAAATCTTTGCATTTTCCTGCAACATACAGTATGTATATTTTTACAATTGTAACTACACCTTATTTTAGATTTGACAAAAAACTCGTACTTTTTTAAACACCAGATTTCATAGCCTAAGTGGTCATGTAACCTGATAAGCGTGTGGGTTTGTGTGCGAAGATAATTGGAGGCAGGCAAATTGGAGGCTAAATTTGAGGTGATGTCACACGAGGTGATCAAGAGTTTTTTTGTTTTTTTTTATCCTGTTCTCCTGTTTCTCTCTCTTGAGTAAAGAGGCCCTTTTGCATGAGTCTATGTGACAAATTACACTCAAAAACTCTTGGAAATGAGTCAGACTCCCTGCTTAATATCTATCAAAGTGTTTTGAAATGTTTCATATAACTGTAATCTCCCAAAAGTAGTCAGTTTTCTATATTAGGACCATTGTGAGCATACAGAAAGACCCTGTTTAAAACACTGTAACACAAAGCATCTTCCCTACTATTGCCTTGGCTCATGAATTTCATTTAATGTTTTTGATATTTTGTGGGTATTTGCAGTGAACAGTGAACCTGTGAGTGATCACAGCCACAGAAAATACAAACATGCTTAACTCCGGTCAGACCCCACTGTCGGCTGTGCACCTCACATTCTTGAGTGCACATCGAGTCATGTGCCATTGATTCACTACAACTGAGACATTAATCCATACCACGTTCTTTTATTTTGTGGCTTATTCCTCCTCTATGGGCTTTCAGTGTTTCCCTACATGGATCAATAAGTATTAATGTGTTAGGAGAGAAACAGGTACAAAACACAATTTAGTCCTGCACTGAGTTACAAGAAGCTGAAATGGAACAAAGAGCAGCCATTGCTGAAATGACATGTCCTTTGGGGTACTAGCATCTTGGGAGGTGGTTTTTGAAAAAGCTTGTAATTCGGCACATTTAATTACATGCTACTCCCTATGGAATAGCATGCCTTTGGCAGATTTGGTATTTTTGATCATACATGTATGTATCCTCTCAAAAGCTACATACCATGAAGTCTCAAGTGTAATCTGCAATGTCATAACAACGTAGAACTTGAAGCTAAAACACTGTTCATGCACTGAACATGCTTTTATTAATTTCACATCATACTGCTTTACAGTAGTTCCACCGGTTCTGAACTTGAAATGTCCACACTCATAGGTGCAATCACGTCTCTTAGTATTAATGCACTCGTTGGACAGCTGGCTGGATGTACACGTATTGAAATAGGCTGGTCATACCTAATAACACATCACACTTTAAATAACTCCAGGAATGGATCAAACATTGCTGCATCAAAGTAGACTAACCCATAGTAGTTGCACAGCTCTTTTCCACGATAAGAACTTAATGAACTTTAACGTGAAGCTTCTCAGAACCTGAACTTTTAAGAACCTGTAAGGTTTTGGTTCTTTGGTTATTTATTTAAATAAAATATTTGGCCATTTAACTTTGCTAATTTAGATTATTAAAAACTTGCAAATTAGTAAAAAGAAAAAACACCAAAATCTGTGTGAAAAACACAAATTTCAGTCCAAAAACACTGTTAACAATTTATTTATTTGTTTGTTTGTTTTTGTCTATTTAGCGGGACTGTGGTGTGTAGTTAGCAGTTCATTTGCAGTTTCTTTACGATTTCCTCTGAATTTTCTATTACCTGAAGCATTTTCTGAGCTGTCTGCAACAGCAACAAGAAGACCCTGCTTACTGTGGATTGTAGTGATGAGTGTCCTCTTCTAGCTGAAAGCAAAACTTCTGGGTGCAATGAAAACATAAAATCTATGTGATCTGCTTTCTGATTTTTCGTTGAAAAAAATCCACCAAATTTTCTGATTCTGCCTGTTCTTGTAACAAAAATCTAATAGGATGTAGAAGTGATGAAGGTGTAAATGTCACACAACGGCACAAATTCACAGACATTGCTTCCTGAAGAACATTCCACAAAGGTTCCCCTGAGGAAACTCTAAATAAGAGACCAAATCATATATTTAATGCCAATGCCAAATTTAATGTCAATTTTCAGGTTGACTAAGAGAGAACGGAATTGCCATTTTCTTCACCAGTGAATGGAGAAATCACCCCATTCTTGTTTTACAGCATCTCACTCCTGTCCTGCCCAGTAAGTGTTGCGCTGTCACTTAGACTTATGGGAGGATTTTTTTCCCTTTGGAAACTAATCCTCGTGTTTAAGGTAATCAGAGAGGATTTAGTCATGTCATGCTCACTGCAGGTATCTTTTTGTGCCATGTGGTTTTATTCCCAGGGCTGTCACAGTTTAACCAGAGCAGATTTTAATTCATATTTAATCTGTTTAGGGATTAGCACAATGTCAATAAACTTGCACTTTTTGTGGCAGATGTAAAAAAAAAAAAAAAAAATCCTGGTGGCAATATTTTAGTGTTTTGTGGTTTGTTTTAAAAGTGATTGGATTGTGTTGAGGGCCATTGGTTTTTACTGCTTTATCAAGTGTACTACAACTCATCAGAGTGATGGCCTGCACATCAGCTTTCTTCTTTCACTTCCTCAATAGGCTCTGCACAGCCTGTCTCTGCTCTAGGAAATCACCTCTGACTTCTTTTCCCCTGCCCATATATACACACACACACACACACACACACACAAACAAACTACAACAAACACATAAAAACAGTGATGAATAAATCATTGTGACTTCTTAAGTGCATTCATGTACATTCAGTTTGCTGTGGGTGAATGTGCTGCAGGAAACAACAGAGTGTGAGGAGGAGAACCGGCTGTACATCTGGTGGATGTCAGACCCTGGCTGCCACTGACTGTGTGGGCATGCAGATGGAGGCAGCGAGAGAGAGAAAGAGGAAAGGAGGCAGTCAGTGAAGAAGAAATAAAGCTGAGTGGGAGAGGATGAATGACTGGAAGAATGGAAGAAAAGGATGGATGGAAAGATAAAGGACAGAGGAAGGGTGGGAGGGTTATGAGCAAGGCGTTGGGCGAGTCTTCAGCACAGCTCAGCTCACTGTCTGCTGTGACCACCTGCTCCTCTAAGCGGTGCCGGATGGAGCATCACTGTGTGGCTTAAGCAGGGAAAGACAATCTGGGTCCTGCTAGTTAGCCAGTTTAAGATATAGAGTTGGAAGCTTGCGGTGATGGGACTCATCAGCAGTCACTCATGTTTTTAAAGATTTGTGTTTCACCATAGCAAAATTAATAAGGGCATTGGGTTTTCCAAATGCCTCTCAGTATAATACAGTGCACCGCAACCTACTGTAGAGCTTCCAAATGACCATATAGACCTCAGTCAGTGCCTCAGTCTTAACTAAAACTAAACATGATAAGCTTTCAAGGTTATACTAATCACATACATGTTGTATTGTAATGCACAGGGTGTAGCTATAGCAGGTGTGCTTAATAAACTGGCAACCTTGTATAGTCTAAAAACACAGAAAGAAAGAAAGCCCTGTATATAACGATGTAACTGTTTACAACAAACATCAGCAATGCTGTTTCACAGATACTTTCTTGATTGTGTGTAGTCTTCCAGTGTTTGTTTCGGCTGAAGTTACACTGCATATAAGACGTCTCTAGTCACGTAATTCTGTCGCTTATAGCAATTAAATATGCCTTAAAGTTGTGTTATATTGATGAGTATGTGAGAGTATGAATGCACATTAATCTTAATTTATCTTCATGAAGACACGCAGAATTAAGTTAGTGTGGAAAATGCAAATTTCATAAACAGGGAAAGTTTGAAAGTTTAAAAAGTTATTTGAATTACACAGAGCCCTCAAAAGATATATCTGACAGAGCCATGTGGGACTAAATGTGTCTGTGTATTAATACAATTCAAGGTTTTTTTTTCACTTTTTTGGCACTTTGGGTAATGGTGGAATAACAAATCCAAGTAGAGCAGTTCTTGATGAAAGGGCCTAACTAGATCCATTCATCAACAGTGAATCACAGGACAACGTAACGTAACACATGAAAACACAAGGTAGGCACAAAACAAATTGAGAAAACACTAGTCATTAGTATTTGTAATGGAAATACCATAAATGGAGACAGTCCTTAAGTGGGATACCTTACCTCTCATGTTTTTAAGCAGCGTTTTTATGTTGAGAAGCCCTAAGTGTCCCCACTTCAAACTGCCAGTACAGTAATACCAGGAGGTATTTTGTTAGTGTGGTCCAAGGAGGATGAGGGCTGTTTCAGGGCCATGTCACGACTCCAATCTCAGTCCCCAGTGTCATAGCTGTAAACAGTAGTGTATTGGCTGACCTCACTACATCAGCACTGCCAATGAAAGAAAGTCTGGAATTGTGTTCTGGCTGGTGTCAAGGCCTCATTTACCCCGCTTATTAGACTCTCCAGCCAACCCACCTGGTGGCGACATACAGCATATGGCTCATAATCTCTTTTGTTACTATCATCCTCCTCCAGCCAGTGTCTCGAACAGCAGCACATTCATAACAGCTTTGTGTTGGTGCTGTTTTGTTTCCCAGCTATTTGGTGTTTGTCCTCTCACACAGAGGGATTTCAGGTCTCTTTAAGGAAGTTCCAGCTCATTCTGTGACTTTTGTGCTTTAGTCAAAAATAAATTACACAGTGTCAGGAGTTGTGGAACGGATAAAATATCATTTACATTTAAGAAAAGTTTAGGAGTTTAGGCTTGCAGTCCTTCACACCGATCCACTGGGATTTTTCTCTGTAAGAACCATGCCTTAAACCTCTTGGCTGGTTATGGTTAGCACCTAGAAACATGCGTGTTGCCATATATTGCTATCATTTCTTTGCACCACAAAAGCAAAGACATCATTAAGCATTGAATTGGCTTTGTAGATGTAGTTGCTCTGTTCTGGTTACTTTTCACCACAGTGACAACTAATTAGCAGGACAGCTTTTGCAGGACAGCCAGG